AAAAATAAATACCTTTGATCTTGGAAATTGATAACAGCAATAAATCTTAAATAAAAATGTATATTAGATAAAACTCATTTAAATTAAAATTGCTCTACCAAGGAAATTGCTCATATTTAACCGGAAAGAAGTTAAATGTACAATTTGAAGATATATTTTGTTGTCTTTTCTGGATAAGCATGAATAATTAGGTACACCATTTTATTGATGTGAGTTTTTAGTCTATCAAATTATTTATTTTGCTATCATTTAGTAAGCATGGGCCTTTTACAGGTAAAGTAAAGTTACAGCCTCTTTACGTCCCACTGCTGGGCACAAGCCTCCTCTGATTTCTGAGAGGATTTTAGGGCAAGGAAATGTCTACCGCACTGCCCCGATGCGTGTTGGCGAAATTCACATTTCTTCGAAATATTTTTTTTTCTTATATATCAGAAATGCACGTTTCCTTTTCATACATTTTAATCTTATTCTAAACATTTAACAATGTACTTGATATAAACAAATACGGCAATTATTGTAATAGATTATTAAATACCATTTCGGAAGTAACGGATTGTACTTACGTCACTTGTATATTTTCTGTTAAGAATTGTAAATGGCTAATAAGCCTTACAAAAGTGCCAGCAATGCTTATTGTTAATTACGTAGTCAAATGAGTCTATATTTTGTACGAAATTATACTTTAATAAGTAACGTGTGCCTTTTTTATAGTCCGCACTGTTAAAAAAAAATAAAAGACATAAATATATTTTTAAAGCCCACATTCATACTTGAAACTATTTTCTTAAAATAAATGTATGCAGACATAAATGATTTAATTAAATACCTACGTACGTCGGGATGGCCGGGATATCGGGATAAAAATAAATAATATAAATTAATCATGATGATAGAGAACAATAACAAAAGGAATTCCTTAAACGTTTTACGTATATTCATATTACCCGACGTCTTCGTCGGAAATTCGCAATAGTTCAGGTAAACATAAACAACCGAGGCGGACGCTACATTTGCTAATATCCATAGTTACACAAGTTCCCTTTGTAGCAAAGCGAATATTGACAATTCAAAACATCTTCCGTCAGTTAAAGTGCTAAGAAAACAAATGTTGCTTAGAACTTTCAAAGGAAAGCTGTCAAACTCTTTTACATTTATACTTACACATTTCTAGAAACCTTTAAAAACCTTTGTAAAGTCTAATTCATTTATTATTCAATACTCCTATCGAAATACATTATGTAAATGAGAGGCTTAAATCTATTTTATATTCAATTTTCATTAGTAAATTTTCAAGGCAAACTCTTTAGTTCGGGCACTCCCTGAGCTTTCGTTTATTTCATATTTTCACGCAATAATTATTCAAATGGAACAATAATACTAAATTATGCTATCATTATTGCTTAAAATCTTTAATAGAAACCACAGCGTATATTTTATCTCTTTTACCGACCACTGATCTCTTTGAGTAGAAAAAAAATTGATGAATGCAACTTAAAACAACATGTGTTATATGATATTATAAATACTCAATATATTGAACAGTAGAGCTACAAATATAGGAGATTAAGTATCATTAATTTATGCTACTGGAGAAAGTTTTCCTTACCATGTTTTATTTGCATCATTTGTAGGCTTTGTTGTATTTAATTGCTGACAGTTTTATTACGTGGTAGAGCCATGCTGCAGTTATATTAGTAGTATAGTTGTAGCACGAATGGGTCGGCTCGACCGGGGAAGGACCACGCTCTCACAGAATACCACCGTAAAATAGCAGCTTAACTCTGCTGTGTTTCGTATGGTGAGTGTAGAGAACCGGAGACCCTTTTTACTGGAAATGAGGTATTCCATCTTAGCCCTCACGGGTGACAACGCATCTGCATTTTGATTTGTAATAGAGGATAGATGTAGATGTCTATGGGCCGCAGCAACCACTTACCATCAGGTGGACTGTGTGCTCGTTTGTCACCCTAATCATATAAAAAAAAAGCCAAATGACAATGGCGAATGGAATAAAATGGACAGCATTTTTCAAGCTGAAAACGCTCTACAAAATCAGAAGTTACCTTAAGGAGGATTTACGGATACTTTAATGTGATACTCTGATGCTATCTCAATTCAATTACTACAGTTCTACATTTGGTCCAATACTAAATTTCAACACAGAGAGAGCAATACAAAGACTGCAAAATGACTGTGTTCGTTTTTGCTTTAATGTGCCCAAAAGAGAATCTACTACCCCGTACCTAAATAAAAAAAGTTTACTTAACATGAGTGCTAGAAGGCAGCTCGTACAGTACATAGGGTAATATGGAGCAAAAAGCCTGAGTACCCATTTGATGGAAAACTCCTATGAATCAAAGACATCTCACATCGAAACCTATGTATTAAACCTGTTGACTATGCCAAAACATAAACAGGTACAGAGGATGTTTTAAATTTACGCAGCAAGAATATGGAACGATTTAGCCCCTCCTCTACGAAATAAAATGAGTACAGCAAGCTTCAAAGTCAAATATAAATCAGCATTGCTGAAGCGGCAAATTGCTGCAGAAAATTTCAAACACGCCTACGGGATATATATAAGCTTAAGAGACTTTTTTACATTTTAGTATAATATTACACTTCAAAAAACCATCAACATGTATTAACTGATCAATCACTCACACACACACACTCACACACACACACACACATTATTAAAAAAATAATTATAAAATTTCACAACCATTTGTAAGATTCTAGTATTAGATGAGTGAATGATAGAGGTGATTGAGAAACTGGCAATTCTCACGACACCCATGTGATGTAACATCTCAGGGAGGAATGAGTGCCTGAAAACCAACGCTTCATGGGATCTTAGTCTCATGTAAGCATACGCTAAGCCCCCGATTACCTAATTTAATTAAGATTAAGTACTTACTTTATTATGTAAATCTGTTTTTCGAATGTGCAATAAAATTATATTTATTATTTTATTATTATGTTGTGCTTACATAATTAACATGCACGATAACATAATAAATTCGTTATATCCAGAAGTTATTAATATATAGCCAATGTGCACCAAAATCATTGTAATAAATAACTCTCAATGTTACGCCGCATATTGCAGGAGTAAAAAGTACAATAAAGACTTGATGTGTGATGAATAATATTATGTAAGATTAGGAAGATATAAGATGTTACTACCTTCTCGTTCCCGTTTTATTCTGGAATAAGTGTATCCCAGCATAAAACGGGAACGAGAAGGTACGGTACAAAATTCATACGGCTGATACGTCGATAGCTACGCCCCTGGCTACACATGTAATAAAACTAATTTTACGGATTTTATCGCGTTTAATTTTAACTTTTTAATTCTTGACCATTCGGGCACTTTACAACACCCGTGGTCACGGGGGGCTAAGGTACTTGACGTCCTGATGTTATAGTTAACGAAGGCTATCTTCAACTTTTAAATATTAACTAGTGGTACGATAGTGATAAACTTCTAAGTCTAAAGCTGTTGCAGAACAAAAAAACTTTTCGTCGACGCCGTCCCATATTTGCTCTTAAGTGTGTATGATATACTGGAAAAAGTTCCATTACTTTGTCACAAATAGAGTGGCGATGTTACAATTAAGAACTTAGATTTTGTGACCAAAATTTTGGATTCATCTAAGATATAAACTTGACGAAAAACTTTGTAAAAATATACGCACGCTCCACGCGACCGTCGTAAATATTTAACAGTATTAATTTAATATACACGAGGAAACGTCTATGAACGAATTAGTTACAAGTGTACGCCACTTGTAGGTAATTAATATATATTATGTTAATAAATTTACGTGAAACTGTGGCATGTTCGTGACATTTACGAGTATAAGTCGGAAGCCTTTAATGTCACAATATCGGAAATCACAAAACGGAACCGAGACAAGAATCGCAGCTTTTATGTTTATGTAATATTATATAATTCTGATCTTGTGACCTCATGAATTATTAATGAGCTGACGATTCTAGGCCAATTTTTTTTCGCTATATTAACCTTGTAGTTTCGTTATGTTTCATATAATGATTAACGATGATTGCCAATATTTATAAAGATTTATAAAGATCTATGCATACGTCTTAACAACAGTATTTCCGTATTTTAGTTTTAATTAAATGAATCGTTATCCCGCCTGCCAACCATGACGATTAAGTCAAATTTTTCCTTCAACGGGAGAGGCTTATGACCAGCGATGGACTTTTACTAACTGATAAATAAAATATAAAAATAGTTGCTATTATATGTAACTACCTGACGCGGCGTACTTCGTACCGCCTAACAGTCGATTCTTTATTTTTTTTTAATACTCATTCTGCTATTCGGGGCAGCTAGTAAGATAAAAAAAGAAAAAAGAAAGTTGAGAAATTACATTATGTCAAAAAATAAAATTTATAAAACAGTTTCTTTTGTATGGGAATATAGAAAAGTGTTGTTTTTAGACTTTTTCAGGCAATTTTTAAAATTTTTCTCTCCGTAAGAACCATCTTCGTACTTCAAGGAATATTATAAAAAAAGAATTAGCGAAATCGGTTCAGCTGCTCTCGAGATTTGCGCTTAGCAACACATTCAGCGATTCATTTTTATATTATAGATATTAAATATTAATGAAAACATATTGTTTCTATTTCATCGTATTACGGCTTTTAATGTTTATTATTTATATTATTATTAAGCTTTGATTTAAATAAATGTTTACTACAAACTAAATTAAATATTTTAACGTGGACGTCAATCACCTCAGTCCCCCGTGACCATGGGTACTGTATAGTACCCGAAACGTCGGGAATTAATAAAAATAAGTTAATTAAACGCGATAAAATCCGTAAAAGTAGTTTTATTCAATGTGTAGTGTTCGCGTAAATATAAGAAATCATTAATTACCTTTGTCCTATTTTTCCGTTCGTTGTCTACATGCCAAGTCGATTTAGTACTAATATACAAACAATATTAAACAAATATTGCTCACCTTGATCAAACATCACAAGCTCAACAGTAGAATGCAGAGGAATGTTCTTGACGTGAACACATTCATCACCGTCGTTTGATCCTTTGAGACACATCGCTTCCGGGGCCACGTCACCGCCCTGCGTCAGCAACGGAGACGCAGGGTACGTGAAACGGAAGCCGTCGGTTTGACCCCAGCTCTCTGTATAAGGAAACATTATCTTATTTAAGCGATAAGATTTTAAAAAATCAGAAATCTTTGTAACAGCATAATGGTGTGAAAGTTAAAAAGGAGACACGACAAACGTTCATCAACATAGAAAACAATGAACATCTCACAATAATGAACGTTAAACAATGGCTTTTAATATTGCTATTATAGGTTAAGATGTAGATAGTAATAAATGGCTGATTCGAAACACTAATGTTTCCAAAGAAAATAAAATACGAAATGTGTTCAAATTGCGTTGATTTTTTTAAGTATTACCATACTGCGTTCTTTTTTTTCAGCTGACTCTACTGGAATTGTAAAACGTAAATTTAAGATTGATTTACAAATAGTGCGTGGCGACACAAAATATCGTATGTCTAAGAAATAAAAATAATATTTCGAAACCAACATACCCCCCCCCCCCCCCCGCTAACAATTTAATAACGTAGAATAGAATAGAATAGAATGATTTTTATTCAATATTGATTATTACATAACACTTATTGAAAGTCATTTTTTATTTACTACTGGTTCGGAAAATACCTCTGCCCTGGGAAGAACCAGCAAGAAACCCAGCGGGACTTTTTTTAAACATAATTTCTCTTAACAATAATTTTGTTTATACAATTTTAAAAGAATATTCATAGAACCAGCATGGTGGCGATCACCTTATTCCCAGGGGTTATTTTCATTCATGTATTCCTTGATATTATAATAACCCTTTTTGTACAGTTTTTCTTTAATAAAACTTTTAAACTTGTTTATTGACAAACTTTGAACATGTTCTGGGATTTTGTTGTAAAAGCGTATACATTGCCCCATAAATGAATTACTAATTCTGTGGAGTCTAGTAACTGGCATTACAAGCTTATGTTTGTTCCTATTGTTTATGGTATGAACATCCTTATTCTTATTAAAGCTATTTATGTTTTTATGTACATACATTACATTTTTATGAATATATTGCGATGCCAAAGTTAATATGTTTATTTCTTTAAATTTTTCTCGAGTAGTTAAATTCTATCCGCTATATAATCGCATTCACCTATTTGAGACGTATCGTAATAATACAGGCTGTTAATTAATTTATTTTTTACTTCTATATAATATAAGGTTTCAGCCTAAATCATTAAGTTACTGCAGCCCATGTACACCAGTAACCAACGTTAAGCAAAGAAGGCCACAAATTGCATTTTCACCCCAGACGACTGAGATAAAATGCCTCATATCTATCATATCTCCTAAATCATTTACTACAAAATTAGTACTAATGATGATTTCTTATATTTAAGCAAATACTACACATTAAATGAAACTAATTTTACGGATTTTATCACGTTTAATTCTAACTTCTAAATTCCCGACGTTCCGAGGGAACTGAGATCATTTAATTAGTTGTTATAACTTTTACTATATATTGATTAAGTGTATATTCTATCTTAGTCCTCACGGCGGACAACGCACCTGCATTTTAATTCACAACCGAAGCTAAGATGTAGATGTCTATGGGCCACAGCAACCACTCACCATCAGGTGGACTGTGTGCTCGTTTGTCACCCTTATTCTATAAAAAAAATATATTACATTCTAAATTTCTTAACATCTTTTAATGTCATACATATAACTTAATGAAATTGAAGTATCTGTTTGTAGGTTAAATAACTGACTTCTAAAATTGATAAAATAAATGGTCTTTAATTATCTTAAATCTAAGCAACTGGGATGCGGGAAGTAAAGACTGTGTAAGAACCTCCGAAGGAGGCGGAGTTATAGCCGAAATAAGAGTTTTAATTTTTTTGGTTTTTAGTCATTTTGACCCCCTAGGAGTGTAATGAGAACTTTTTGCCACTATTCAACCATGACCCCCATGACATCCTCTACATGATAGGCTATTTATACTGACTATGCCTAAAGTTAGAGCCACCCCCAATTATTTGGTTTTTGGCCATTTTAACCCCCTAGGTGTGTAATGAGAACTTTTTGCCTCTATTCAACCATGACCTTCGTGACATCCTCTACATGATAGGCTATTCAGACTGACTAGGCCTAAAGTTTGAGTCACCCCCCAACTTATTCCTAAATTCTTTACTTCCAATTATGAGATCCTATCCAGGGGAAGCCGGGGCGGGTAACTAGTTGTTATTAAAGCAATAGTTCATAAATATAGACTAACATGTATTGGAGTAATATTTCTTTTTAATATTTAAACATTGAAATCAAATGATCCTCTAGTCCGCAGACGGTGCTTTCGACTACATACGTATATACATGACTCGAAACGGCCCTCGTAAAATTGCTTTTATTGTCTTCCTTATAGAATTAAAGAAAACAGACGGTATTTATTCATGACATCGCACGACGCTATGAATAAATAAGTAGCTTAAACGTTGATTATGTGTATTGAAAAGAAGTTCAACGTATTTATTAATCTACTGGTCATACATAAAGAATATATAGGTATTACATAATCTGTAAGTACTTTCTAAACTTTACTAAAAGAATTATGTAGAAAATGAAAAAAACTATCTATACTAATAATTAACTTCATTTTTTATATAATAACGGTGACAAACGAGCACACAATGTTAATTTTGATGTTGTGGCCCATAGACGTTTCCGATGAAGAATCAAAATAGATGCGTTATTATCCCTGAGGAATAAGACGGAATGCCTCGTTTCCAGTAAAAGGGTCTCCGGGTCTCTACACTCACATGAGAGCGTGGTCCTTCTCCGGTTGAGCCGACCTTTTCGTGCTACGGCCATAATAAAACTGCAGGATGGCTTTACCACGTATGAATTATTTTGTGGTTGATCAACATGGGGAAAACAGTTCTCGAGTGGCGGCCTCGTACCGGCGGATGAAGTATAGTTCATCCCTCCACTAGATGGAGTGATCTGGTAAGACATGCAGAAAGCCGATGGATGCGTGTGGTTCAGGACCGTGCGTTGTGGCATTCCTTGGGGAGGCCTATGTTCAGCAGTGGACTTGTGAGGAGCTGTAATGATGATGATGATGATGATGATGATGATGGTCAATATACTATTCAGACAGTAGGGGCGGGGTTATAGAATCTCCACCACCCATATCATCCCTTGGAAGTCGTAAGATCGAAGGTAATGAAACAAGAGATGGGCAGCAGCATCTTCGTGATAATAACTGAAAAAAACTTTAATATTTTTTATTACATTTACTTTTTAGTAAATGCCGAAAAAACTACACGTGCTAAGTATAGCATAAGTATAGTCTATAATATAAAAATCAAAGCCATGACTTCTGAATTTGAAATTAACTTATTCTTTTTTGTTCTTTGAAGTCGGCTTTTACTTTTTTTACTTTATTTTTTATTAACTGTTTTCAAAGTTGGTAAAAAATTACTTCGCGTATATCCACTCGATTAAATAAAATGATGTGTCTTTCCTAGTATAGTGGTGTTGGGAGTAATGGTGCTGGGATTAGTGGTGACAGTGATAGTGCACGCAATTGAGGGAGGGCGGAAGGTGCTCTTCAAACTAGGTAAGACACATCATTTTATTTTATCCAGCGGATGTACGCGAAGTAATTTTTTACCAACTTTAATATAATGGACTTCCACAAAGTAACGCCTGATTCTATTAATAACCGTTTTCCGTTGACTGAGGAATGTTACACCAATATTAAGGAATACTACCGTGAAGCGCCATTGTAAGAATATCCACTTCTCCTTATCGTCTCGGGACAATCGTAAAAGGCAACAGAGAGAGATACACACTAGGCGATGGGCAGCAGCGTCTTCCGAATAACAACTGGAAAATAAAAAAGCTACGGTTGCCAACCCGCCATTTGAGGCAATATATGGGGTAGGCGTATGTTCAACAGTAGAATTTTGATATACCGTAAGGGTAAGGAATATTACAATTTCAATGTCGTCAAAATACCTACATTAAAAACTTCATCACTGATAGATAACTTATTTAATAAATAATAACCGAATATTCGGACTCACACATGAAGGGTTCCTTACCATCGTAAAACACGTTTCTAGTAGGGGAGCCCCATTTAATTTTAATTCATTTTTATTATTTGTTGTTATAGCCGCATCAGAAATACACATTGTGTGAAAATTTCAACTGTCTACATATTACGGATCATGAGATACAGCCCGCTGACAGACAGACGGACGGACAGCAGAGGATTAGTAATAATGTCCTGTTGATTACCCTTTGGGTACGGAACTCTAAAAAGGGTCATCAAAATTGGTCACAATTAACGAAGATTTTTTTGAATGGAGGAGACATTCAATTCGTATGCGAGACAACTTAAATGTCTCCTCCATTCAAATAATAAAAAAGTGCGGTTGCCAACCCGTTTGCCAAAACAAAGGGATGGCATAAGCTAGCAGCGTCTTTGTTACCACCAGATTACAATGTTGGTAATTAATAGAATCAGGCGTTACTTTGCGGAAGTCCATTATATTAAAGTTGGTAAAAAATTACTTTGTGTACATCTGCTCGACAAAATAAAATGATGTGTCTTACCTAGTTTGAAGAGCAACTCCCGCCCTCCCTCAATTGCGTGCACTATCCCCGTCACCACTTATCCCAGCACCACTACTCCCAACACCACTATACTAGAAAAGACACATCATTTTATTTAATCGAGTGGATGTACGCGAAGTAATTTTTTACCAACTTTGAAAACGCCTAATAAAAAATAAAGTAAAAAATAAAGCCGACTTCAAAGAACAAAAAAGAACTGCACTATCACCGTCACCACTAATCCCAGCACCACTACTCCCAACACCACTACACTTTCTTTTTATTTATTTTTTTACTTTTTTTAAATAACGTCACCCCCACTCTAGTATTTTCTCCTGTCGTGGAGGCAGTTTACAAACATAAATTGCACAAGGACAAACATCCAGACCCGGAACAATTATTTGTAGGCCATACAAATACTTGTTCCGTGCGGTATTCGAACGCGCGGCCCCCAGTGCAACAACTGATTGCTAAGC